TTATGCATTCCCATACTTACAGCATACTTAAAGATGATAATTAAAAAGTATTTCTTATCCTTTACTGTAGATGTTTGTTTAGAGCAGGCCTTTGCATAGACATTGACATACAAAGCCTTTAACCCTAGGATACACAGTGTTCAAATCCAGTTTAAAACTGATAATGAAATCTACCAGCACAGTACAGACAGCATTAATTATGGTAAACATTAACACCCCAACCCCCTCCTTAGCATTGACTAGCAGAGGAAAAAGAGCACGTAAAATGTAAGGAGCAGATTTAAAATTCTTTCTAAGTTATGCTTTGTCAATGGGGACATGTAACAAATACAAAGGAGGTGTTATCCCAATTGGCTGCAAAACCTGTGGGACAGCTTGATTTGTTTTTTTACACTTGTCCAACAAGGTTTAAGGTCATGCTTTAATTTTTGTGGATGTTTTGCTCTGACATGAGATGTAGAGATAATCTTTAGCAGTTGATTTTTGTCAGTTATGAACAGGAACAGTCACAACATTACCAAACGGTATATGAATTCAGCAAGGATGTGAGTTTGGAAGATAAGGTATGTTGTGAAAGTGACACACGCTCTGAGGCTACGGCTTTTCAGGAAGATAGAAAAAATCTGCAAGCAGGCTGAACAGAAACACAGAAGGGATAACGGTTGATCCACATGATGCAGTAACATGGCTAGAAGAAAAAACCCCAATACAAGACGATCTGTATAAAAGGGACCAGAACTTTGCATTCGGAGGAAGGGGGGGATAAGAGTTAAAGTGGATTTTCAGCACGGGTTCACACTGATGTGTTGTGGAATTCACAGCGTTTTCTAAGCGAATTCCACACCACATCAAAATCGCACCCCGTTCAGGCGAGCCGCTGCCGATGTGAATGTTAAGTTAACAACACCCCAAAATCGGTCCGCAAAACACGGTGCGATGTGCAGAATCGGATTGCATAGGTGTGAATGCCCATGCGATGCGATTCTAGCGCGGACCTAAAAAAGGGTCCTGCACCTTTTTGCTGCTGATGCGGTGCGATTATGTATGGCTCCAATCGCACCGTACACAATTCACAAGTGAAGTGATTTACACAGGAATGTGGTGCTGTTCTTGTGCGAATCACATGCGATGTACCGCACCGCATGAGTGTGAACCTAGCCTAAATGGTATTTTTCCTGAAGTTTTTTTTTAAAATGTATCTCTACTCTAATCCCTTGTTCAGTTACACTGAGCACACTGCAACAGATTAATATGTGCTCTATAAAATGCTGCATGTGCAATCTTTGCTACTTTGTGGTGTGTTGGGCAGGGCAGTTAAATGAATGGGCTGCCCTAACAAAACACATCTTAACTACTTACCCGCTGCCCCATAGCAGATGTACTGCTACAAGACGGCTTCAAAATCATGTAAATATATGTGATTTTGCATTTGCCTACCCTGCTATTGGCTCCTGAGGATGTTAATCACTGGATCCCAGCCGGGACTCGGTGATCGCTGGCAAAGCTGACAGGGGAGAGACCTATGTGTAATCCCTCTCCTGTCAGCATTCACATTCAGGTCTGGCTTATTGTAGAATAGGAAGGTTTAGCTGCATGTCGAGTTACACACATGTAGTGAGGACAGAACAGGGGAGATTTAAGGGGTACCATTTTCATTGTTTTGGGCTACACCTTAACACATATTGCTTTGTGCCTTAGTGCACATGTGTTTAAAACAACAGACTAGGATGGTGTGAACAGGACCTTATGTGTTTCACTTGTGTATTTAGCTTGTTCCATGCAGTTCTTTCACTTGTAAGCAGGGCCTAACTGGTGTACCTGAGAATTGAGTAAATACGGATGCGGATATTCAAACTTTGTCTAAAGTGCAGCAATTGACTGTTCACAGAAATAAGGCCATTTACAACAATGGCACCACTATGTTGCAGGACATACATCTCTTCAGACAGAAGAGGGCACTGTTTATCCAAAAGGCACTTTCCAATAGTGATATCATTTATTTATTTATTTCAGGTACTTATATAGCGCAGTCAATTTACACAGCACTTTACATATATATTGTACACATTCAGTCATCAGTCCTAACCCTCAAGGGGTGTACAATCTAAGGTCCCTAACTCACATTCATACATACACATACTAGGGACAATTTAGAGAGATGCCAATTAACCTACCAGCATGTCTTTGGAATGTTGGAGGAAACCAGAGTATCTGGAGGAAATCCACACAGGCACAGGGAGAACATGCAAACTCCAGGCAGGTGGTGCCGTGGTTGCGATTCGAACCAATGACCCAAGTACTGCCAGGAAGAAGTGCTAATCATTTAGCCACTGTGCTGCCCATATAACAAACACATACCACAGAATGCCAGAGGATCACGTCCATAGGAGGTGCAATCCCAAATGTCCAGTAAGCTAACAGAGGAGACACCCTGCAAAGGGGAAACCTACTCTTCTCCTCCTTGACAGGTACCTCCCCTAATGCTACTCCTACTCTCTCCTTAACCAGCGGCAGCACATAGAATGACACAGTATCTCATTATTTATTGAATTATTCAAGATGGCCACCCAAGTCTCAAGGGACTTTGGTATCCAATAGGATTGCTGTCCTCCCCAAAATGGCCACCTGGAGCCCATAGCAGGGGACAATTAATCTTGAATGGGCTCCTCCATCCTGGAAAACAGCACAGTGTCACTTTCAGTTTCGAGGATATACTGCAGCCTCCACCTGCTTCCAAACTGCATTCCATTTTCTGGAGAAAGTTAAAACTAAAAATGAACATCTGGTTAATGTGGGCAATAGTCATAGATACATCATACGCTGCGGCAGGGGCGGACTGACAACTCATGGGGCCCCCGGGCAATAGGGGATCATGGGGCCCCTGTGACCTTGCCCAAACTCAAAAAAGCCTATGAAAAAGGTACCAGGGGCATCTCATGGGGCCCCCTACTGACCCCGGGCCCTCGAGCAGTGCCCGAGTTTCCAAATGGGCAGTCCGCCCCTGCACTGCAGTTTTCATTAACCAGCCCCTGGGTCTCCTTAACCCCTCTCAGCCTGAAATGGTTGATACCATAAAAAAAAACAGGCTGAACTATATTGACGTTTATGTTATAACAAGATTAATCAAAGTATATTTGTGAATGTTAAATCATTGCAAATCTAGTGGCCATTTTCAGTGTGGGTATGATCATAAAAGCATTAGGCTACTTGACATAAATTAGTTCATTTGTGCTACTACAAGACCATGCATGATAGGGCATAGTAACATTGTTTGTGGACAAAAGCTGAAGAGGGTAAATCAGTGACCTGTGTACTGGATCTCTCAGAAGTGACAGTTGCATTCTGCAGATTTTGAAATGTCAGCTTGCTTTTTAACAATAGATTGAGGAGCTCTTATCTTAAGTCACCCATGAAAGTAAGAAGCTGATAGTATTTCTTGTAAATTGTGGAACAGGATAAGGATCATTACAGCTGCTAATAAGTCACAGCTCACTCACTGTAATATATCTATGGAGTAGCACCTTAGGAGTTGTCACCTTATTACATACAGGGAGGAACTTTATTTGTTCACAGGTGATAGCTGAGAAGGCTATTGCCATTGCCTGAGATTTTATGTCAATTCACAGAAACGGACATAAGGTTTTGAGCAAAATCAACAAGTGTTTTCTGTACTTGCAAAAAATCTATATAGTCTAAAAAAGAAAATGAATGCAACCGCCATGTCTAAGGACTGGTTGGCTGCAATATATTACATTCTTGTTTTCAGGTTTAAATATTATTTAGAGAAGAACTCTAGGAAAAATGTGTTTTAAACTTTGCTGGCACACAAGGACTTAAGTGCAACATGGTGTATGCCACTTAATGGAGCTCTGTCTCTATCTAGTACTCACAGTGTGACAATTTAATTCCTGGAATGCCTGTGGCGGTGAGTCACAAAGCCATTCGCACCGGATTGTGTTCTGACATGTTCTAATTTGCACTTGCCTGGCTCTTTACGAAGTAGTAGAAAAAAAATAACGTGTGTGCGCTGCGCTGTTGGCGGAAAATGGGTGACAGGAATCTGGAGCAGTGGAATAACATCAATCAAATGTTGTGTGAAAATTGGCAGAAGTGCGAATAAAACTTTATCTCTGTTACAACAAGCTTATAGCGAACATTCCACGAAGAAATCAAGTGTTTTTGAATGGCATTGGCAGTTTAAGGAGGGACGAGGCAGATGTTCATAATGATACTAGAAGTGGGCAGCCAAAGACACAACATTATTACATTCTAAAAAGTTTTACAGGAATCTGTTCGAAGGAAAAGCCTGGAACTCTGGCCTGACAAGTGGATTCTCCACCATGACTATGCTCCTGCACATGATGCATTAAGTGTTTGTGAGTTCCTGGCCCAGAAATCCATTACAAAACTTGACCAACCACCTTATTTCCCTGACTTATCACCTTGCGACTTTTGGTTGTTTCCGAAAAGAAAAAATGCCTTAAAAGGATAAAGATTTGATAACGTTGTGAGCATCCAATTTGCTGCAACAAAGATATTGTGCAGAATTCATGAAAATCAATTCCAGGAATGTTTCCAGCACTGGAACAGTCATCTAGAAAAGTGCATCACTTCACAAGGGGACTACGCTAAAGGTGTCAACAACTGCTAGTGTATAGGTAAGGAAATTATTTTTTTTTTCACAGCCCATTTTGGGAATTAAATTGTCATACTTGTAGATATCGCTGCACTTTCAGTGCTCTGACACCAGCTATGGGTCTCCTATACAGTTACCATAGATTAGTTTGAAGCTGCACAGCCTGCCCATCCTGTGCCCTTGCACACCCAGAATGCTTTACTAAAAATTAAACGCTTTTCGTAAATTGGCTGGAAAGAGGAGGGGCGAGCAGAGCAGTTGCTGTGTAGGAGAGCAGTTTCCCTCCTCTTGGCTTTGTGACTGAGTTGCTGTTGTACCCAGTTGCTTCCACTTTGTTATACCACTAACAGTTGACCATGGAGGCATGCAGACTGCTCATACAAACATTTGTGAAAGAATGGGTCGCACTCAGGAGCTCAGTGAATTCAAGTGTGGTACCGTGATAGGTTGCCACCTGTGCAATAAGTCCATCCATGAAATTTCCTTGCTACTAAATATTCCACGGTCAACTGTTAGTGGTATTATAACAAAGTGGAAGCAACTGCGAACAACAGCAACTCAGCCACCAAGTGGTAGGCCACGTAAAATGACAGTGCGGGGTCAGTGCATGCTGAAGCGCACAATGTGCAGAAGTCACAAACTGTCTGCAGAGTCAATAGCTAAAAACCTCCAAACTTCGTGTGGCCTTCAGATTAGAACAACAGTGCGTAGAGAGCTTAATTGAATGGATTTCCATGACTGAGCAGCTGCATCCAAGCCTTACATCACCAAGTGCAATGAAAACCATTGGATGCAGTGGTGTAAAGCACGCTGCCACTGGACTCTACAGCAGTAGAGACGTGTTCTCTGGAGTGACGAATTCACTCCTCTGTCTGGCAATCCGATGGACGTGTCTGGGTTTGGCAGTTGCCAGGAGAACGATACTTGCCTAACTGCATTGTGCCAAGTGTAAAGTTTGGTGTAGGGGGGATTATGGTGTGGGGTTGTTTTTTTTCAGGGGTTGGGCTTGACCCCTCAGTTCAAGTGAAGGGAACACTTAAAGCGTTAGCATACCAAGACATTTTGGACGATTTCATGCTCCCAACTTTGTGGGAACAGTTTGGGGATGGCCTCTTCCTGTTCCAACATGACTGTCCACCAGTGCACAAAGCAAGGTCTATAAAGACATGGATGAGCAAGTTTGGGGTGGAGGAACTTGAGTGGCCTGCAAGGAGTCCTGACCTCAACCCGATAGAACACCTTTTGGATGAATTAGAGCAGAGAATGCGAGCCAGACCATCTCATCCGACATCAGTGCCTGACCTCACAAAAGCGCTTATAGAAGAATAGTCAAACATTTCCATAGACACACTCCTAAATCTTATGGACAGCCTTCCCAGAAGAGTTGAAGCTGCTATAGCTGCAAAGGGTGGGCCAACTCAATATTGATCCCTACGGACTAAGACTGGGATGCCATTAAAGTTCATGTGCGTATAAATGCAGGCGTCCCAATACTTTTGGCAATATAGTGATTATGCTATGTTAAGTGTAATTGCTTTTAATCATTCTCTATACAAAATATCCATGATCCTTGGCTCATACATTTTTTTTAAATTGGGCTGATAATGGACGTGCTTTTATTGACTGCTTACAAGGAAGAGGGTACAGAAAAGGAGTGGCTGGCATGATGCTCAGGGGCAGGTTACCATGAAGAGTCAAACTCACTGAAGAAAATAGTAACAAAGTTACTTAGGTTGAAAAGAAACACAAGTCCATCTAGTTCAACCAACAGAAACCCTTCATATACACAATCCTATACCCACAGTTGATCCGGAGGCAGGCAAAAAAAAAACCCTATAACGCATGATCCAATTTGCCCCAGGGGGAAAATACCTCCTTGATCCTCCAGAAGGCCCTGGAGCAACAATTTCTGGTGTTATTACTTATACATATTATTATTCAGCTATATTTTAAAAACAATGTACTAATCTGGCCAGAGCTAGTTCTAGAGGGAGTCTATTCTGCATTTTCACAGCTCTTACTGTGAAGAAGCCTTTCCGTATGTGGAGGTTAAATTGTCCTCAAGATGTAAAGAGTGTCCTGTACTACCTGTGCAAAAATTGTGTCCCTTTGTCCTTTGTAATTACCTTAATGTGAATTTCCCTACTTAAAGTTACAGTGAATAACTAGTGTAGCCTCAGGAAAGTAAAGGCTCACACTTCTGGGTAAATCAACCACATTGCACATGGAACACTGATAAAACTAAGAATTGGTTACTTTAAAAAAGTAAACAGACTGGTAGGCAGAGACTATAATAACTGTTTAAAAGAAGAAGTTTACTTTGTAAATGGAGTGTCCTTGTGGTGACTCTTTCAGGAATTCTGAACACCACAGCTATTAAATTTGTGTACTGCACCAATCGTCATCTTCCTTATAACGTCATATCACAGCATGCATATGGAAATCAGCAGACATTCCATACAAAATTTTGGCCGCTATCACATAAAAACAATAGCTCTATAAACACCACATTCAGTCTAAATACACAAAGTGAAGGTATGGTGCTCCGTCACTGGGCATTCAAATGGCACATCACAAAGTTTCCACCTGCATTTTCAGGATGTTATTTCTGCTTCGGCCATAACAAGGCAGTGCAGGTCATTGTTTAAATTCATACGCAATATTACTCCGGCTGATGTTCAGTGATTTTTAAAATAAGCCGGTCAATTTAAGTCATCCTTTTGGCAAACAACAGCTGCACAGGAAGAGGAAAAATGTTATCCATGTTTGACTGATGTACTAGGCTTACCCCATGGAGGAGTTTAACCAGTCCACGTCTGTATAGTCATACTGTATATCCGACAGGAAAACACAACGCAGGAAAACTACCAAGCTGAACAATAGTGTGAACTGGATTCCATGGTGCAGTTTTGGAACATCTGTTTTCAGTGTTTTTAGCCTAACGGCTAAGGAAGTGTTATTTTTTTTTTTTTAAAATACATGGTTTGAAATTGGGAGCCGAGAATGATTATATGCAATTAACATGTTTAGCTGCATCACTGGCAAGGGTAGCGTACACAAAAAGAGAATCTGACATCCCCACAAAGATCATGCAGGATCAGGGCATGGGAAAGCTTCTATTGCTTCATGCACTTTATCAGCTATGGCATGCTGAAGAGGAACAACACATCAGAACTAAAGACTACATCTACATCTCATGCACTTGGCAAGTATAGGAATACTACGGGTGCAAAGGGAGCAATGTTGATTGAGCAACAAAAATGTGTAACAAGAAGCAACCAAGTTAAACATTGCATTTGCACTAAAAAATCTAGTACTGAGAGGTTAGTGAAGTTCTCTAGGGATAGAGGATACTGACATTTCTCAGCTTGATACATACGTTTGTGAAGACCACTGTTGAGATCTATTTTTCCTGGTAGAACCATTTCCTGTGGAAGCCTATACCCATTTTCACAAGTTCTGCTTTCTGCTCCTGATTGTCTGATGATGGGGAAGGCTACGACAAATCGAATTATGAAGAGGCAGTTAGAATGGGTAAACCACATCAGAAAGACAAGCAAGATGGTAAATAGGGCTTATATACTTCTCTGTCTTTTCTCTTGTAGCTCTGAGGTAGAGGGTATTCTGAGGCTTAAGCCTGATCAAGTTGGACCCAATCCCTACAAAGCACCTTCAAGATAGTGCCTCCTACCTTCCATGACCGGAATAGGGGAATCATTTAAAAAGAGCACACTGCCTCTGGGTTCTACCTCCCTCCTCCATTGCCAACCATTACTACCCTAAATATTTATGAGCACTGAAAAACCAGTCAATTATGCTGGTTCTACAAGACTTCTATCTAGAGAATATTGCTTAAAGTAACAAAAAAAAATCAATCCGGATAGGGTTGCCTAAGCTGAAAGGAAGTACACTTTCTCTCTCACTGTTTTCATCATTTGTGTCCTTTGTGATTGTCAGGGTACTTTTCAAGGCCACCTTGGAAGGATACAGAATTTTAGAAAATTGATAAAGAAGGCCTATCTGGCACCCTCCCAGAAAGAAACTTTAGGCCCCTCTCACACCGGGTGGACTCTGCCTGCAATCCGCTTGCACTGCAGGGGATCTGTCTGCTGATCCCCGCTGAGCAGGTGGATGACAGGTCTGTGTCCACTCCGCTTATGAAGAGCGGACATAGACACAGGGCACTCTCCTCTATGGGCAGTTGGATGTAAGCGGACTGCTTGTCCATTTACTCTCGACTGCTATCCGATCTGGCCAGACGAAGGGGAATGGATCCCCATCCATTTGTTTTTAGTGCATCTGACTGGATGTAGGCAGGTGTAAATGGACACATGTCCATTTGCACCTAGTGCTCCATAGAGGAGAATGCAGGTTTAGATTGGATCTGCCTGAAAAATAGAGAGGAGGACCCAGGTTAGAACGTTCATGTGAGAGGGGCTTTAAAAGGCTTGACATTTCTGGTAAAATTCTCTTGCAAAGCAAATATTCAATCCATTTGTGTTAAACTACCGCTGGCACAAATTAGCAGTTGCCTTACTAATGAAGATCACTAGCATTATGCAGAAACACCAACAAGAGTGATGTATCATAGGGGGAGATTTACAAAAACTGATGCACTCAGAATCTGAAGCTGCCCAGCATAGTAGCCAATCAGCTTCTAACTTCAGCTTGTTCAATTAAGCTTTGACAATGAAACCTAAAAGCTAATTGGTTTGTATGCACAGTTACACTAGATTTTTCACCATGCAGTTTTAGTAAATCACCCCAATACTGTGTGCAGTGAGAGTCTCTAATTACAAGACTTGGCATGTTAATGTGCAATAGTCATGGGGGTTGACATGCTGGTATGAACTTGGCAAGATTGTGCTCCCCAGAACACAGTAAGAAAAGACAGGCTCCTATTAGTAGAGCACAGAGTCCTTACAGTTAACAAAGAAAGCAGATTTCCAGTGACATCAGCAAACGGAAGGACAAACATAAACAGTAGGAAATGTTCATTGACTGTGAACCTGTTGCACTGAATGGCTCCCGGAATGAGCAGCTCCTGGCTGGAAAAGACATTGTAAACACAGATGTTGTGAATGGCAGGGCTGTGTGGCTGTGTAAAGCTAAACCCATGGAAAAAGCCCTTTGCATTGTTATTCAAGGTAGTCCCCAGCTGCCAATCTGCATATGGAAATAGTCCCTCTCAGTCATATCTCATTTTGCACATCACAGAAAATGATAATGAGTTCTCAGGTGAAGTCAATAAAAGCACCATTAGAAGTCTAATCAAAGCAGAAGAGACAAAAGCTTTCCTTTTTAGTGTCCATGTTGGTCAGGATGATACTTTTCAGTATTCTGGGTATTAGTACATATTGGAAAACTAATAAAAAGCGTTTCCGTGCCTTGATAAATTTTATACTGATATCTTTAAATGAAGCACAGAATTCTGTAATACATATGAAATGCAATAAGAAACGTGCCTTTGCCTTCTTTCTGAATTCAGATAAACGTTGCCCTTTGGAATCTTTCCGATTTTGGTCTGATGGAGGTCTCAGTTTTAACCAGGGCTGAACATGATTAGAGCATCAAGGGAAGGGGGTATCACAGAGTTTTTCTTCTAGCTATCATGCCCTTAGAGGATGAGTGAACTTTAAAACAAATTGCACTTATCCTTTTTGGCCATTTACCTTGAGCTATTAGATCCCACCCTCCCCGTTCACAGGTTTATACTTACTGAGATCCGACTGCTGCAGCCTGTATTGTTTATTTGCATGCAGTTGTGTGCAAGGCTTAAGGCGTCTTAGCGGGGACAATATGAAACTGCACTCACTAACAACTAAACCATAGAAAGGACCCACAGTCACGTGAAACCAGCATTAGTGTGGCACTCCAAACCTAGAACCCCACTTGCACAGTCAACACTTTGCAATCCATGACCATACTTCTTACACAGCTGACACTAAAGCACTTCAGACATAATTTCTGTTAGAGAGGACCTCTCCCTCAGTCTCCACCAACTCTGCAGTCCGGTCATGTCACTCCCAGTGATAATGTTCCGTATATTGCTATTGGATACAAGAAGCACACTCTTTCATAACTCCATGCTTATTCTCCTCCCGGGGCCCCTTCTACATCTTTCCCCGTGACTCCAGGCTAGGCTCCAGTGCCACAGGGTCAGCTCCAGTATGCGGAGAACCAGCCATTAGTGAAGGAGGCAAGCATAACATCCCTTCACTACCAGAGCATCTGTCACCCCTGTCATGTCACCAGTTTTTTTTAGCTGGAGGTATTTACTCACAGCTGGGTGTTTTATTTTTTTGTGCTATAAACAAAAAAAAAGAGCAACAAATTTGAAAAAAAAAAAAACGTTTTTCTTTGTTTCTAATATAACATTTTGCAAACAGGTAATTTTTCTCCTTCGCTGATGTGCATTGATGAGGCTGCGCTGATAGGCAGCAATGATGGGCACTGATAGGTGGCCCTGATGAGCTGGCACTGATGATGCTGAACTGATATGCAGCAATGATGGGCACTGATAGGCGGCACTGATGAGCTGGCATTGATGATGCTGAACTGACATGCAGCAATGATGGGCACTGATAGGTGGCACTGATGGGCAGCACTGATGGGCACTGATGGGTGGCACTGACTGGCAGGACTGCTGGGCACTGACTGGCGGCACTGCTGGGCACTGATGGGTGGCACTGCTGGGCAGCACTGATGGGGGGCACTGATGGGTGGCACTGCTGGGTACAGGTGGGTGGCTCTGCTTGGCACTGATGGGCACAGGTGGGTGGCACTGCTGGGCACTGATGAGCACGGGTGTGTGGCACTGCTTGGCACTTGTGGGTGGCACTGCTGGGCACAGGTGGGTGACGGTGGTGGGTGGCACTGCTGGGCATTGATCATCAGTGCCCTGATCATCAGTGCCGATCTGTTTTCTGACAATTGCCAGTTATCGGCAATACTTTCCTCACGCTGTGACAGCGTGAAAAAAGTGGAGCTGATGACCGGCAACTGCATTTACCTGGTAATCTGCTGTGTTATTGGACACAGCTGATCATGTGGTAAAAGGCTGCTGTGATTGGCCTTTTTACCACATCACGTGATCAGCTGTGTCCGTAGGACACAGCGATCATGGAAATCTCCGGGTGTGCGCCACTGGGGGTGCGCAGGAGGGCGCGTTCTGGGAAGACGTAATATGACGCCCTCCCAGAACTGGACAACCTTGCTATAGCCATCATTCGGCTATAGTGCGGTTGGCAAGTGGTTAAAAACTTCCAAGTCTTAATGTCTTGTTAGTTAAGCAATGAAGACGCCAAGGGGGGCACAGTTGTTTGGAGGGGCTAACAGCATAACTAAAGGTAAAGCTTTTTTTGTTATGGATAGAGTGGAGATGTATTTGAGCCCCCACTAGGTTTTTATTGCTCACTGTACCCCAATTATGGAGAGTTACCCTCTTTATTTGTCCTGGTTACCATTATCACTGAAAGCAAAAGTAAGAAAAAATCCCAAATTTTGGTTGTCTCAGGAACAGTGAAAGGATGGAAATTCTCCAATGGGGACACTAGTTCTGATGACCCTGGTAAGAATCCGGGATTTCCCTCACTTTATAGGGATTTCCTCTTTGTTTTGGCTATGGGACAGGAAGTGAATTGGGGGGGGGGGGGGGGGGGGGGGCAAGTATGGCAAAAAACAGGGGTTATAACTGTATTCAAAATGAAAAAAAGTATTGCTTTTAGATTTACTTTAAAGCAGTACTAAACCCAAAAACAAAAATGTATTGCATTGTAGTTCACCAATTCTTAGATGTGGTGGCTGCACCCTGTCTATTTGTCCTTTTTACCATAATCATCGAAAATGAAAGTAAAAGAAAATCCCAATTTTTGGGCTGTCCCCAGAAAAGTAATAGAGGGCAAATGTTCCTATGGGGACACTAGTTCTGGTGACCTGGGGGTCCTCAATGAATTCCATAATTTGCAGGGATTTTCTCTCACTTCCTGTTTTGGCTATGGGACAGGAAGTGAAGGGAAATCTCCCCAATGGGACACAGATGGCAAAAAAATAAACTGACGGGTTATGGCACTTCCTTACTCTATCCAAAATGAAAAAAAAAGTTTTGCCTATAGTTCTACTTTTCTGCAATACTGAGCTGCCACTCTAAGTTTCGGCAGCTCTAGATGGCATGGTCTAGAATCCTACAAAGCTGTGTTGTTAAAGAACGTCAGAGTTTATTCTTCATTTTCTATTCTACATTTTCCGTGTAATATATATTTTTTTATGCAGTCTTAATTACATTAGTTATTTTCTAAGCATAGTTCCAGTGTTTCCTCTTACATAGTTACATAGTTAGTCTGGCTGAAAAAAGACAAAAGTCCATCCAGTTCAACCATTAAAAAAAAAAAGTTATAATCCTATACCCACAGTTGATCCAGAGGAAGCAAAAAAAACCCAGCAAAGCATGATCCAATTTGCTCCTGAAGGGAAAAAAAATCCTTCCTGATCCCCGAGAGGCAATTGGATATTCCCTGGATCAACGTTACCTATAAATGTTAGTATCCAGTTATATTCTGTGCATCTAAGAAAGAATCCAGGCCTTTTTTAAAGCAATCCACTGAGCTGGCCAGAACCAACTCTTGAGGGAGTCTATTCCACATTTTCACAGCTCTTACTGTGAAGAAACCTTTCTGTGTTTGGAGATTACATTTCTTTTCCTCCAGACATAAAGAGTGCCCCCTTGTCCTCTGTGATGACCTCAGGGTGAATAGCTCTACACCGAGTTCACTATATGAACCACTGATGTATTTATACATGTTGATCATATCCTGACTAAACAGAATCCACATTCGTAGAGATCCTAACCAGCCAGTGGTAAGTTGTTACAAACAGTCTCTGGTGCCGTACAATACATTCAGATCAGAAGTTTGAACTACAATGCACATGGAAGTTAGAGAAGATTTTTAAAAGTTTGCTTATCTCTGTACATATTTAGCTATTATCTTTAACTTTGAGAGTAATGAAAAAATGCAGGAAGACTATGTGATTAATGTCTTGTAAATTACTAATTCGTTATCAATTATTCCATGAAGACTTTGCATTGAAAGACATAAAGGGGGGGGGGGGTCCTTCCTAGGACTATAAATAATGATTATACTCTGTGACCTAATGTCTTTTTCTGACACTTTTTTTATTCATGACATGGACCTCATTATGACCTAACATAAACCTGCATCTTATATATCTGCAACTAAGAACTGCCTATATATTCTTCCCGAACTTGAAACATTATCTCCTCTCCTCCAGTTTCAGCGATTAAAAGCAAAAATGGAAAAACTGAGAAAAAACATTTTCAGAGATAAATAATCTTGCTGACATCCAGCAAAGGTCAGGGGCTGGGGCTTAACCAGTTTGGCCAGCAAAATCAGTTGTGCAAAATTGAACAGCATTACATACATACTGAATAATTTGTTACAGCTGCAGTTATCCATACAGATTAGTTATCCGTAGAGATTAGGGCTAATTCAAAAGTGTGAACAGTTGAGTTGGTGTCGATTTGTTTGCCTTCAAGTACTGAAAATACATGAACTCAAGGCTGTTCCCATCAAGAAGCCTAGTACACATGACCAGAAAATCTTATGAACAAGAATGCTTTCAAATCGATCATATGATAATCTGATCGTTAGTACACAGTTTTGTGCATGAAAAATGTTCTCCTACGATATCAGATCGGATGATTTTCATTTAATCAGTACAGTTTTCATCTGAAAATACAATACAAATACAATTCAATACATTAGATCACATCCAAATTTTTATACTGTCGTACAAGAATTTTCGTAACTTTAGTAAACTCTTTATTTTTGATATGTAGACTAGCATGCAAAAAAAATGGATGATCATTCTTCCGATAGTCTTATTGTGTGTACAGGGCTTAACCACTTCAAGTTTGGACATTTTTACCCCCTTTCTGTCAAGGCCAATTTTCAGCTTTCAGTGCTATCACACTTTGAATGATAATTGCGCGGCCATGCAACACTGTACCCATATGAATTTTTTAGCATTTTTTTGAGACAGATAAAACTTTATTTTGGTGGGTATTTATTCTCCACTGGGATTTTTATTTTTATATAAATGAAAAAGTCCACAAATTTTGAAAAAAAGTGTTTTTCTTATAAAATTATACAAATAAATAATCTTTCTTCATAAATCTTGGCCAAAATGTATTGTTATCTTTTTAGTAAAAAAAAAAAAAAACCCTAATTAGTTTATAACCAAAAAATAATTTTTTCAAAAATGTATTACATTTTTTTTTTGTTTTTTTTTACATTATTAGTTATGTTTTTTTTGTTTGTTTGTTTGTTTTTTACATACTGTCACCCTATCAGTACAGTGTCACCATGATGACACTGTACTACTTGTGGGGGGGTGATGAAGATTTTTTTTTTTTTTACACTGATTGCTTTTACACCCATAAAGGCTGTAAAAGCAATCATTTTCCTCCCTGGCTGCATTCTTGTAGCCATTGAGAAATACTGTGAGAGCTGTGATTGGTCACAGCTTGTCACATGGTACAATGCTGTTGTGAATAGCCTTGTACCATGTGACCTCTGTGATCATTCACAGATTTCACACGTAGTAAGCAATGATGTCAGGAAGTGACATCTTATTTACTACTATTCATGTGATCACTGACTACCCAATCAGTGATCACATGATCGGTACCTCACACAGAGGTCCCGTACAGTGATCAGTGTTCCTAGGGAGCACACACAGGCTGTAAATATGGGCGCTGTTTATGAATGGCAACCCGCTCCTGCACTGCTCCCATCCGGCTATTTATGTACATGGGGCGGACGGGAAGTGGTTAAGGTAAGGGTAGAAACAACTTCAGTGGAAATGGTTGTCGTCTTGCCAGCCCAAGCAAACCGATCCTTGATTGTGAGGATGTGGGGCTTATTGCTGGACTCATTACAGTGGATGGGGGCAGAATCTTCAATGCTTTCTCGGATATTCATGAGGCTAACACAATTCCTGTACACAGTTACCATTATTGTTATATTAAAACATAAGTTCCTTTGGATGACTATGGACAGACCAATGTCTTCCCAAGAACAGCAGGTGGAAAGACATTTGACCATTCTCAATTTAAATTGTACCTGCCTTTGATAACTGTACAACTGGAACACGTGTGCTTCACTCACCCCTTCTGTCTTGTTGACATGGTCAGGTTATTCTACGTTTTTGCTGATTCTAAAACACCAGCTAGGTTCATGCAAAAATGGATTGATCCTTGCATAAACTGTGTTTTAGACAGCCAGATTGTGGTGGAAACGGGCAGCTTATGGGCATCTATACCATCAATATAGTGTTTCACTCCTACATAAGATGGGGGGTGTTAAATACCTTTGGGAAAACCTATGCCAGATCACAGATCTACTTGAAAGCAAACCATGAGAGGTCCTGCAAATGTAGGAAAAAGGGTTTGAATGTATGCAGAGCTCCAGAATGTAAATTCTGAGTAGAGAAAGGTGTTTTTTCATCTTTCTCTGAGTTTTGTAATTCCTGAATTGGGGCAGGGGCTCGGAGAGACACTGAAGTGCTTTGGGTGGGCAGGAGTTTCCAACCCAGAATCTGGGTCTTGCAAGTAACCAGCAGGTGGAGTGGGCAGGTGTTCACAGCCTTTATAATTTAGAACCTGACAACAGTTCAGGGCTCCACCCAAGAGACAGGAGGTCTCTGTGTAGGGGGTCAGAAGGACCTCAATCCTACCCCCAGGAGTCAGAGAGGCTGCACGGGGCAGCCAGGGCATGAATGTCTGCACAGTGCAGGTGCAGCCAGTAACAGAGCAGCATGGAACTGAAAGCTGAGGTAGTATGTACAGGAGCACTGAGGTGCTGTGTTTGATGGTCTGGAGGACCAAGGCAAAAGGCCTGAGCAGGGGCGCTGCTAGAGAAAGCCATAAGGATGAAGTCATTTATGTCCGTGTTGATGATGGAAACCCCTGTGTTAGAAACTGATTTTCTGTGTGAACATTTTATTAATAAAAGTGGCCCAGCAAGCCTTCAGACAGCAAGTCTTCAGTGGACTGAAGTCCCTGAGAAGCACTACCACTGAGTAAAACCCCATATCATCATAATATATTTATGTACAAAGACTATAATTTTACAAGTACCGTATACATTTTATACAGGGTATACAATTTATGTATATATAATTTTTTTCATGATTTTATTTTTCAGTCTTCAAAATAATACTAAACATGAAATTATATAGTAATACACACATTCCCATTTAACATTAACAAAACATTTAACACATTGTTCTTCAAGGAAACAAATGTGCCTTTACAGGAAGAAGTATGTAAATTGTCTTTAGGGACTTTGCAGCCATCATGGAATTAGTAGGTAAAAGATCATGGTTTGCAAATCCAGTTAATTTGTTGTACAGGCGGGTGGAGCTGTGGCCTAATTGGATTTACTTAAGCTTTTAACACCATAACAAACATAAAATAGATAAGCACTAAGCAATATGAACACCTGATCAATGGGAGTTGATAACACAGATACCAGTTGATAAATTCGGCTGATAAACGACCAGTCTATGGCCTGCATAAGTCTATGGCCTCTTCTTTTATTCCAGTGTTATTGTCACCCTTTATACAGCAGAACAGTATTGACCATTTCTTTATGAAGAAAGTTTATTTATTGATGTACATTTGAACAATTGTGGACTTTAACCACTTGCCCTGCAAAGATTTTACCCCCCTCCCCTTCCTGACCAGGCCATTTTTTGCGATACGGCGCTGTGTTACTTTAACTGACAATTGCGTGGTCATGCAACACTGTACATAAATAAACTGCGATTTCTTTCAATGGTATTTAATCATGTCTGTGATTTTTATTTTTTGTGCTATAACCAAAAAAAGACTGTCAAATTTTAAAAAAAAAAAAAAACAATATTTTTGACTTTTTGCTATATAAATATTATCCAATAAAAAAAAAATAAAAAAAAAGAATTTCTTCCTAAATTTAGGCCAAAATGTATCCTGCTACATGTCTTTGCTAAAAAAAATCCCAATACGTGTAAATTAATTGGTTTACGTGAAAGTTATAGCGTCTACAAATGGCAGTAGTATATATATATATATATATATATATATATATATATATATATATAATATATTGGAACTTTTATTTTTTTATTTTTTTTATACTAGTAATGGTGGCGATCAGCAACTTATAGAGGGACTGGGGGGCTGTGGGACTGCGGTGGGCATTCTGACACTGGGTGGGAACTAACGGCCACTGACATCTCCAGTGCCACTAATACGGTGATCAGTGCTGATAAAAAGCACTGACACTGTACTGTTGACACTGAGCAGGAAGCGGTTAACATCTGGGGCAATCAAAGGGTTAACTGTGTTGTGTTGTGCTTACACTGTGTGCTGTGTACTTTTACTAGGGAGACATGCTGCTTTCTCTCTCTCAGCTGTGCAGAGAAAAAGAAAGCAGCATTTCCATGCTGACAGGAGAAAGATCTGTGTTGTTTACACACAGATATCTCCCCTCTCAGCTTTAGCGTCGATTACCAAGTGCCAGACGAGAAGTGCTGTCCAGGACCCAGTGATTGACATCCACTGCAACCAATGGCATAGTGGGTAGGGCGGCACGTGCACACTCTCTACCGGGGATGCAAAATCATGTATACTTACATGATTTTGCACAGAGCAGCCGCCCTGTACCAGTATATGTGCTACAGGGTGGCAGGAAAGTGGTTAAAGCAACTTTATTATCGCCAAAGAAAAATTGTCTAAAAAAGTGTCTAAAAAATCTCCCACAGAGCTACAGTAGTTATAGAATTGGCAGTATCCAACAATTTTGGGGTGTTTCAGATGATTGGTCCCTCATGTTGTGGTCTTATGTGTTGGCCCCTAGGTCACGAATGTGTCCTGTAGTGACGTAGAAGCTGGTGGAAAGAATTACAGAGCACGATGGGGTAACATGCATCCCACATATCCCGGAAGTATATTGAAGGCTGAAGAATCTTCAGCCACAGTAGTAAGAAAGGATGAGACTTACACCCTACTGGACAGGTAAATATTATTGATTTTCTTTTTACAAAAAGCTTTTTAAAAATTTTTTTTTTTTAGTGCCAATATAGTCAGTTAAAAAACAGTTCCAGGAAGGAAAATAGAAGGATACAACACAAAGCTGACCTCATCAATGTGTTGTTCTAATCACAGGTTGCGGGGTCTTTGACCAAACTGTATTGTTGCAACAATGTGGCTGATAGGATGAGAAGATGGACATCGCTCAACCGACCCCAGGAATCAGACGCATGGATGGCTTGGCCTCAGCCACCGCTCCAGCCATGTCCGGGCATGATCACAGAGGCCTCTGACTCCTGGGGCCAGTTGAGTGGCGTCCATCTTCTCATCCTATCAGCCACACTGGAATTCTTTTGGTCACCTGCTCCCTTTCTTTGCCAGCGGGGTGATTTTCGTTCTACTTTCCAGCTTGGAGAGGCGCCATAAGACATTCACATTGCTGCAACAGCAATACAGAAAGGTAACGTCAGGATGTGGCTATTCTGTGTGACAAATATGTCTAGGTTAGAAAACTAGCTGAACAAATTTACATATTGTTTGGAAGGTAATAATAGTTCATAATTAGGCATTTCAAATCCGTTATCCTATGACATTTCAGCTTTATTTAGATGTAGCTATTCATTTACACTTCACCTTTAAAGCTATGTTAACAATCTTGCTAGGGTGGATAAGAAAAAGAAATAATAATAAAAAAAGGCTAACCATGTCACGTTATTTGTCTGACAAAGTATATGAAGGAGAACATGACATAAAATTATCTCTGGTTTTCTTTTCCCATAACACAGAAAGTCATTTGCTCTTTAAGTCATGAACTTGTGCGGTAAGCTGTAAATGATTTTTATGTCAAATAACACAGCTCTCTTCTGTCTTCATAAACAATAATGCATTTATTTGTGTAGAGAGTTATTTTTATATATTATAAGCAGTATACTGTATTTGTGTAAAGTTCCCACATCTCACATCTGCCCCTTAGAATTTTAGATATAATCTCAGCTGCATTTTTGCACGTTCAGGCAGGTAAAAAGGGTCTCATGTTGATATTCATTAGGCTAAAAAAAATTGTTTATTTTTCCAAAGTCCATTGAAAATTTGCCCCCGCAATGTTGCATGACTTGGTATTATTAGACCCATGAACTGAATTTGTGCAGGTGGGTTTTGGTATTGGAGAATACATTGGTGTGTTCAGAGGATGACCACTTCTCTAGATTAGGATGCGATTACAGGAGGTATAGATACTGCAAGTTCTCCTGGACTCATTGAAATTCTTATTCGCCATTTACAAGGTCAGTATGCTAATACTGAATGCCGTACAGAATAAAGCATTATTTCTTCTTCTTTAGCACCCTTTTTATGTTATCCACTGGTGGAGATTTTAAAAAGACCTATTACTGAACTTTTCTCCATATTTAAGTTTTAAAATTATGTGGATGATGTGGATTTTTTCTATTTTAGAGAATTATGCAAAATCTTTCATATTTAAATTTTTAAGGAAAAAATATTGTTTCTCCTTTGCCTGCTGTAATAATACCCAAATCATGGCTGTGTCTGATTGATGCAGCTGCTTTTTGTCCCACTATTTTTTTCCTGGCGCTTTTCAATATTTCAATTAAGAGATGTGAAGTGGGAGGTAGATGACAGGGCCACCCACTATGACTGGATCTAGGGGGGTGCTGGGGTGGGATGTGCCCAAATTTCAGTTTGTGCTCCCCCCCAAGCCAAGGAATATCCTGAATTCAGGGCAGAAAGTGCAGTA